ACGGGCTCTGAGGCAACCCTTTTCTGTCACTGGGAACACCCTGACAGTTAAGCCTCACGGCAGCGAGACAGTGAAGGACAAGGTTGCCGTATCAGATGTTAATTACAGTTGGCTTCTTTTCCATTCTTTTAGGGAGGTGGGAATAAAAGATTCCATTTTTCTCACACAATATCATGGGCGTGCTCCTTGATGAAACTGTAACTTGGAGAGAACAATGTCAGGACTAAGAGACCAAAGCTGTGTGTGCTCTGGTCTCCAAAGACCATTATGCTCAGATCCTCCACAGCTTTTACAAATGACAGAGATGATGATGCTTGGAGTGTAGGGGGGGGGGGGTTTTTTTTTTTATATATATCGCCAGATGTTGTGTTTTTTTTTTTTTTTTGTGGGGGGGGGGGGATTTTTTTTTTAAATTCATGTCACTGACAGACTGTGTCCTGAAAAGGTTCACAAGGCCACTTTAGCAAGCTGGGCCTCATCGGAGCCAATCTTAGCATCAGGCTGTGAGGCTATTTGGGAGCTCAGCTCACCAGCTGTGGAGTAGATCCCCCACAGGACTGGTGGTTTCCAAGTTCCCTCAAATGACACCACCAGTAGGAAGCTTTGCCGTGGCGGCGATGGTGTCTCTGTGCCTTGGCGGTCCCCAGCTGGAGGCATCCGGGTGTAGCTGCAGGATGATAAGCCTGAAGACGTTCAGGAAACTTCGAGTCAGAGTGTTTTGGCCCGAAGCCGTCAACACAGGTGCAAGCCTGAGAGTATGCTTTCCATAAATGGTAGCTCCTCCTAGGTAAGGGTAGGACTGACCATTTCTGTTTGAAATAGACTTTCTTTACTCGTGAGTATGGTGATGTCTGTCCCAGGGGGAACCTGTTTGTTAAGTATTACCAGAGATTCACTGCTGCAAAATTATAGTTTTGGGTTTTTTTTTTTTTTTTCTTAGTAGATGGTTCCCAGCTTGTAGCCTGTACCCCAACAAGTGGTGATTCTGTGAATCTACCTCTTGCTTCATTCATTACCTTGAGGGTGCATCTAAGCTATATTAGGAAACCGCTTTGCTCAGAACTAGGGCTATGGGGTGGACATGGAAACTTGTAGGGATTTTCATTTGGCTGGTTAAAGGCTCTGTTGATACTTGCCTTAAAAAACTGGCTGAGCTCAAAGTCATTTCATTCCTGTTTTATGGAATAAGAGTTGGGATCCATATCATGCTCATTCATCTGTATGAGAGAAAATTGATTTTGGGCTAAGACTTTCGATCCAGCCCCAGAGCTCTCGGTGGTCGTAGGGTTCACCTGAGAAGCAGGTGGGCACTCATGCTTGCGTGTGACTCCTCACTGTAGCCTTAGCTCTTACAAACACGACCTAACCCCCCAGTCCTCGTCCAGCACCTTGGATAGGAAACACTGACCAGGGAGAGCCTCCCGGGAAACCACAGCCAGTGCGTTCTCCAGTGTTCTCCACTGTCTATCCCAAACTGCTCTTTCAGAAAGTAAGGCTTGTATTTATCTCCCCAATCAGTTGTCAGACTAAAGAAATATATATATGAAATTTGTTACTGTGCCCATGAGGAAGCCTGGAGTTCCTGTAGTGGGACATGTGTCGTGCTGGGAGACTGACGCGGACATTGTGGGTTTTTACAGATGTCCTGTTGTAGGGACAGTGTTACAGTTGTTGGCTGTCACCAGGGTCCCTGTGACATTAAGCTGGATGTGTAGCTCAGTGGATGTACACTGTCATACCCTCACCCCCACTTGGTTTCTTTTTCCAGTAGTGATCATCTTTATTGTTTTTATTTTTAATTTGATTTTATTTGTATGTGTGGGAGTATGTGCACAGACAGATGGACACACACACACACACACACACACACACACACACACACACACACACACACAGTGTTGAGCTCATCATGGCACATGTGTGGAAGTCACAGGACAACTTGTGGGAAGTGGTTTTCTCCTCCTGCTGTGACATCCCCTGTAATCAAACTCAGATCTTCCGGCTTGGTGGCAGGAGCCTTCTCTTGCTGGGCTACCTTGCAGGCCCCTTTATTTTAAATCATTTCTGTATGGAAGTCAGGCCAAGTCTTTAAGTAACAATTTAAAAGCTGATGAATTTCTTTACTCTTGATTTTTAAATCATTAAGCAAGTGCTGGTGCCCTAGATCGATTGATTGAGCTATCCGTCCTGTCTGTCCAATCCATCCATCCAGTGCATTCTGATATGGGAGCTAATACAAACATTAAAACCTAAGTTTTCTTGGCATTTATTGTATATGAGAGAAATGTTCAGAATTTTGACCCTGCCTTATTCCCCTCCCCGCTTTTAGATTTTGAGTGAAAGGAAACTTTCTAGTTCTCAATAATTGACTAGTTACAGATGTTTGGGGTTATGGGAAAGGTGTAAAGGAAGAATTCACACTTAGGTAGAATTTAGTGGCTGAGTCTTGTCACTGAAGTGAGGTACTTTGAAGGCAAGTACAGTACTCTTCTTTATACACATTGGTTCTTGAAACTTGCAAAGCAATACAAAACCAAACAATCCCCTCCACCCAGCCCCTGCACAGTGCAACATCCAGCTGAAACACCACACACCTTCTGAGATGTCAGCTCCGTCTTCCTCATTCCATGGGACTAGGGCAGTTGGATTCAGCCCTTCGCGCCTTTCCTCCTGCCCCGCACACACTCCCCTCTGTAAACTGCTCATTTGGTGGCCGGCAGGGAAAGTGTCCATGAGGGTGAGTCACGGTGAGACTGAAAACCTCAGTACATCAGAGTGGTCGCCTGCATGTACATAAGAAAGTTGGCCAGAGCTGCTGGCCCTTTCAGCCTGCCTTGTGTGTGCACCGGAACTTGGGCAAGCTTGAGAGTGCCCCAGCTGGGTTAATCTGGTCCCCAGATTGTTCCAGAACAAACGTAAGGGATGGACTTCATTCTACTTGTAAGATTCGGTTTCAGTGAATCTGGTGACATGCTAGCCCCCGTTACAGCAGCCCATCCCCCGGTGTGTTCCTTAGGGTCTACAAACAAACAGTCCTGGCAAGGATAGTTCGTATTCAACAGAACCCATCACTGGCTAGGCGGGCAGTGGATTATGTAACATAGATGCTCTCATTTAATGCTCAAAACAACAACAAGAGTTTGGAACTTTTATTATCCCTGGTTTTAGATGGTGGATTAACAGTGAATTTTCAACTCGGAAAGCCAAGTTGCGACGACGAATGCATACAGCGTTTCCCCAGGCTCAAACTCCCATCACTGAGCTTGGTGCGCAGTTGCCTTCTGATTATCTAGAACTCTCTGTGAGTCTTGAAGAAAACCCAGGACGCCGATGTTTCTCAAGGCACCCTGGCACACGTCCACAAGGTCATCGTGGTGTCTGCTCACGACAGCCACAATGAGAGCTTGTTGGCACGTTGTACTCCGGCATATCTGCTGATTACAGAAGAACAAATGTGCCTTCTTCTTAGGCTACCTCATGTTTCAATCCCACAGACAAGGTTATGGATACATTTTTTCCCCTCCCCAAACCAGGAGGAAAAAAAAAATATACCAAACAGACTCGGCGTTGTTTCCCCTTTGAATAACGTCCTATACTTTTATCCTTTCAACCAGTTCTTTTGTTCGGGTCTAGAAGACTATAGATAGAGAACATTGTAATTCTGGTAGATAGGATAATTTGTTTTTAAGGCTGAAAACTGCGTTCTCAGCCTCCGTGGTGCAGGTGGAAGGCCCGCAGCCCACAGGCAGCTCTGCCAGCGAGGATCGAGCCTCGCAAATTATTGGCAGCTGGTACGGTAATGAGTCCATTTCAATATAAATGGGTTGTTGCTTATTAATATCTGCCAGTTCCTAAGCAGTTCAGGGACGGCTTTGAAATTTGGGGAATTTGCAGAGAGAGTGGTAGCGGGGGCGGGGGGGGGGGTGCCTAGGAAGAGGGGACGGGGACAGGATGGCAGTGGGGGCAGTCGTGGAAAGGGCACACACATTGTGGGTTAATCACGGGGTATGGCGAGGGCTTCTGTTCCTTCCCCTGCCAGTGTGAGTCATGGGCCTTCACGGCTAAACAGCACGTTTTCCAAGATAAAGGAGAAACCAAACTCACTGTTCTAGTCCGTGCGGACGTATGTATTTACTTACTCCGTGCCTTTGCGGGGCTCCTTTCCACACACGAGGCAGTTCTCTCGGTGTTCCCGCTCCCCAGTGGCTGCCATCTCAGGCTCCCACCTTGCGGCAGGCAACCACCAGCAGTGGGTGGCGGCGGCCGGTGGCCCACAGAGGAATGTCTGGTTGGAGAGGGGTCAGATGCAGCCTCCTGGAGAGACCCTCCAGGCCTTTTTGCTAGCCTTAGTATTTGCAGTTTCACCTCAGAAAATCAGCCTCAAGTGTAAAAAAGGAAGGACCCATTGGCACTGTGGTTGTTGGAGCCGTCCTTGTTGATGTTATTATTATTGTTATTGTTATTATTGTTAATTATTTTGCTAAATAACTGTTTATCCATTTTACCCAAATACTTTCCTCTGTATTTTCCTCATGAGCTTTCTCAGAGCATGGTGTTTGAAGGAAACACACGGAGGGCAGGAAAGTTTGTGGAATTAGGCTGTGGGCCCCCCTCCATCATTTTCTTCAGGTCTCTTTGTCAGCGAAGTGCCTCTGTGAGGATGCTGAGGCCCCCTTGCTCCCTGGCCGTCCTGTTAAGACCCTTGGACAATTAAGAGAGGAGGATGAACAGTCTCCCGCAGGCCGACTGCTGCTGTCGGCCAATAGCTGGACCCATAGACAGGTTAAAAGGAGAGTTTGCCGGGCTCTCCGTGGCCATCGCTACAGATAGGCTGGCATTTGTGTGGATCGGACCCAGCCTGTCCTCCTATACCTGTAGCTGAGCGTCGCATCGCTTTATGCAAGGGCATCGTATTTCACATAAAGTCGCTATCAGCGAATCGATGCTTATGCTGTGTCCTCTGCCTGACCGTTGCCTTTCTGGTTTTCTACCTCCTCCAGGTTTGGGGCTCATTCTCCCAGACTCAGGTGAGACCCTGATGGCACCCTGTGGGGCAGGTGCTGACACACACCCCATCTCCAGCCACTGACATCATCGCCAGCCTCAGTATCTAAATGCCACAGCGCTCTTGGGGCCAGTTGGGCTGGGCACCGCTGTTGCCTTTTAAGGTAGGTTTGTACGTGTCATTTAAGCCTCTGTGACTGGGTAGAGGTGCCTCAAAGATGGTGGGACGGATACACTAGACGGCAGTCATCGAACTGACTGTGCTGTGTATACATGGTGGGAAAGGAATTCGGAGCCACTTCTCTGGATTAGAGCTGCACCCATCTGACAATTGAAAGCATTAGCGTTGACCCAAAAAACGAAATGGAAAGATCAAATAGGCACCTAGGAAGCCTTTTCCTTTCCTGTGAATTGCCCTCGGGGTCTTTTATCTCTGAGTTTCACCAGCTTTATGTTGGATTATGTTTGTGAACAAAAAAAAAAAAAAAAGAAAGAAAGCAGACTTGGTTCCCAAACCCAGCCTCAAACAATGGTGTGTTTCTCCTTGGGTTGTCTTTAAAGAGCAAAGATAAATACAGTCAAAATAATAATCTTCTAAGTCAAAGATGATTGCTTATTTACTGTAGAACGTGTTTAGTCTCTTGGGTTCGGGGTATTTGTGTGTGACTTGGCAAAAACTCTGTCCGTGCGTTGTAACGAATTGGCAAAAACTTTCAGAGCTTCGCCTCAGTTTAATCTTAGCTCTTCCCCCTCCGTCTTCAGGCACAGCATCCAGTAGGGAGAAAACAGGCTCGAAACCAAGACCTCCCACCAGAATCTAATTTTAAATTTGCAATCTGTTGTCTTGTGATTTTTCACTTCAAATTTAACTTTGAAATAAATACATCTCATCCTTTCCACTTCGGCCTCGGAGGTCTGTTTTCCAGTCACGGCAGGGTAATCGCTGCATTTATTTTAATAAAATTTTAGATACCTCGGGGGAGTGGAAAGTGATGCTAATAATTATAACTCACAGCCATTGTTAGCTAGCTTCTGGTTGGGGCTCATGCTGCCTTCATCCACAGAAGTGAGGCCTGGTGTGTGCGGTTTAACTTTTGACTTCAATGATACGAGGAGGATCCATCTAATGGGAATTATAGACCTTGCAATCTCATGCTGTATAGATTTTGAAGGGCTCTTGCTTTGAGGCTGTCTTAGTGATGAACAGGACTGAGATTTCTGTAAAGAGAAGGTGCATAATGCCCAGACAAGTGGGTGATGGCCACTACCACAGGAAGATACACTCAACAGAAGGACTGTGCGGAAATAAATAACCTGGCCACAGATACAGTTTGATGAGGTCAGAGTGCCATGAATCAGAAATAGAGAGGTATACATAGATCCAAGCTAGGTAGAATTTCCCTTATCTTAGATACTTAGATCCAAGCCATCTGTTCAGAGTTTACATTTTGTTGTAGCTGTCTGTGTAGTGTGACATCTTTACTCTTTTAAATTGAAAAAAAAAATCATTGACTTCTTAATGTTTTATTTATTTGTCTTTCCTTTAAAAAAAAAATGAAATGTAGCGGCTGGAGAAATGACTCAGCTCTTAGTAGCACTTGCTGCTCTTCTAGAGTTCCAGAGTTTTGGTTTCTGGCATCCATGTTAAGTGACTTAAAACAACAACCTGTAGCTCCAGCTCTAGGGCATCTGGGGACCTCCTTTAGTCTCTGCTGGTACCTTCACGCTCATGTGTGATCGTGCACACACACACACACACACACACATAAAAATAAAATACATCTTTTAACAAAATGAATTTGGTGGTTAGGGATGTAGCCCAGCGATAGAGCACTTGCCTAGCCTCGTGCAAGACCCTGGATTCAGTCCCACCACCCTCTAGAGAAAAGCAACCAACTGTGGTGAAAATTGATGTGCTCTGTGAGTGCTCTGTCCAGAAGCTCCTTCACACATCTCCCTGTGTGTGAGAGGGAAATATTACTTTCTAGTAGTCCTGAGGAAATTTACCTTTCCCTGGAGTGTGGCTTAGACGTCATCTCTATAGAAGTTTTCATCTGTGGGTAAGAGGAGTCTTGTTCCAGGGACGTTTAGTATTAATGGTGGGATTGTGGTTTTGGTTGTTGACTCCTAGCTAGGGCCCCCTAGGCCCAGCCAATCTACTGTCCGGGTTTTGTTCACTGGGACAGAACATCCTACTGTCTGCCACAGAAAGCCCTGGTGTCAATAGGGAGTGAGACATCATGAGCCATAAAAATATTATTATAATCTCCTTCGTGCTCAAGGGATGTGGTTATTTACATATTCTCCTGTATCCTTCTCTCTCTTCGCCTCTTTCTCCCATCGCCTGCACTTACTGGACTAGTTTTCTTTGCTCTCTCTGCCCAGGACTTTGACCAAACTAGAATGTTATTCTTCTAGTTCTGAGAAGAAACAGTGATCTAAAAATGTAATATAATTTTACAATAAATTTTAGATCATACAAGGCTCACCACTTCCTCCAATATTAATGATAGCTTAGATTTTTCCAAGCTTAAATTCTCCGTAGGAGGTTATGTTTTCCAGAGGGCTAATGTGTTTCCAAGCAATTTGAAGAAAAGGGTAAGCAGGCTTTTGTGTGTGTGTGTGTGACCCCAAGTTTTATATAATACCTTTTTAAAAAATGTGTTCTGGGGGCTGGCGAGATGTCCCAGTGGTTAAGAGCACATCTGCTCTTCCAGAGGACCCAGGTTCAATCCCCAGCACCAACATGGTGGCTGACAACTGTCTGTGAGCCTGTGACTCCAGTTGCAGAGGATCAGATGCCCTCTTCTGACCTCTGCAGGTAAAACACCCAGGAACAGAAAATAAATTAAACATCAGTAACTTTAAACATGTGTTCTGTTTTTCTGAGCAAGTCATTGTTGTTCATGATGACCTCATATAGCAAGCAGTTGTGTCCCCCCGCCTCTCCCCGCCCCTCTGTCCGTCCCTCCTCCCTCCCTCCCTTCCTTCTTCTCTTTTGAGATAGGGTTTCCTATGTGTAGCCCTAGCTCTCCTTGAATTTGCTCTATAGACCAGGCTGGTCTCAAACTTGGCAATCCTCCTGCCTCTTCCTCCCCAAGTGCAGAGATTAACGGCATGTGCCGTCACACCTGGCCTAGCAGTTGCTTTTCATGTGTTTCAAGCATGTTTGTCTTTACTTGAGGAGGTAGCTATAATAGCTAGTTTAAAGTCCCGTGTGTCATTATCCCACTGCCCGGGCACTGGACATTTGGCATCTCTTGGATTTTACCCCTGGAAGCTGGTTACATTTTCCTAGTTCTTTAGAATGCTACAAGGGGATTTGAGCATCATGTGAGTTCCAGGTCTTACTGAAAATCACCCGATGGGCATGGATTTTGTGGTGCCTGTTACTCTAGCAGGGAATCTGAGAGTCGCTGGCTGGATTTAGGGTTTAGATCGAAGGCTCTTGGTTGTTGCAGGCTTCCATGTCAGCCTAGTGTCCAATGCCTTTACTTTGGGCTTGGGCTACATTAGTGACCAGAGGGTCAATCTGGGACTTGGGCTGCCCAGCCCTAAGTCTGTGCTGTGGTGTTTTGAGTCAGCCCCAGGCATGCCCATCCAAGACATGTACAGATTTGTTCATATTAGGGAGCCTTGTCTCCAGTCCTTCACTTTCTGAGGCCCCTGCCCACTCTCTGGCTTCCAGGGACCATTCCTGCTTCTGCTCAGGAGCACAGAATCTGTCTCCTGGTGTGGTTGCTTCTTCACTGTGTTGGATGCTTAGCCTTGGTGCCAGCCCAGGAGAGAAGTTGGATCAATAAAGACAAAGGAGGAACTCGCTGCTCTCTTGAGTGGCTTCTTCCAGTCTGGGCTCTTCCTCAGTCTGTTTGCTTCTGTTTATTTTGGGTTTGGAGATTTAGTGGTGATTTATGGCCTGAGGTAGTGCTTTGCTCCTTACTGATGGCAGATATTAACGATTCATTTTTGTTCACTACTTAGTAAAACAAAAGCTCTGCCCCCCGATAGTCACCCCCTCCTAGTCACCCCCTCCCTCTTTCATTTAACCTTGCTTTGGAACATTGTCTCTGCATTTCCTGGCAGCATTTTCCCAGCTGATGCCTACTAGGTTGTCGTTTGTTTTTTAATTTATTAGGGATGTAGTAGAATGTTCTAGGTGATATATATATATATATATATTTTGTAAAAAAGGGTTGGGAGGATTCTAAATGTATTTCTTCAGAAAAATTCCTTATTTTTATCTTTAATTTTTTAACCAGACTAATCCATTCAGTTAAAGCTCAATTTATTTACTTCAAATTTTTTTTATTTCAAAATAATTACAGAGTCATGGGAAATTTTACTAAAAGTGTATGTCGGTTCCCTATTTCTCTTGGCTACATGGCTCACAAGTATGATAAGACAGAAGGGATTTGGCAGTGTGTGTGTGTGTGTGTGTGTGTGTGTGTGTGTGTGTGTGTGTGTCCTTTTGTCCTTTGGAATATCCCTATCACTGTATGTCCCGGTGATAATATGGGGCACAGCATCTGTATCATTTTTTTCAAATAGATTTAGTAAGCTATGGAATCCTACAGAAGCAACCCTTCCTTCCAGGTGTGCATGTGGAACACCTTAATAAAAAAGTTTGTGCATTTGGATAACCTTCCTAAAGATAACTCCTAACTCCTTCCTTGGGTATCTAATTTGATGGAGCTGCAAGGCCCATTGAGGATAATTACTCACCGGGAAGCTTGTGTCTTCCATGTAGCTGAGAGATCGTGCTGTTAACGAGAATAGAGAAGCTCTACCTATTCTGCCCTTGACCCTCGGCCCCCAGAGCGCCCCTGGCATCTCTGAACCTTCTGAGCTCACACTCAACCACTTTGAAATGTTACCCCAGCCCATCATGCTGCTCTGCCCTCCCGCTCCGATTGCCTGAGTCTTCTTGGACCTGAGCACTGTGAGCATGAATACGGGCAGAGAAGCCTATTCAGCTTAGCCTGTTGCTAAGCTTCTGTCTGTCAGGCCGCTTCAAACCACAGAGGAAGACAGGAGGTGCAGGCGGGACTCCCCGGATGGAGGCAAGAGTGGGGAGCATGATGGAGACTTACAGTTCACGGACAAGGGCAGTGTGGAACCAGGTGGTCCTGACTGTCTTTTCATTTTTAATTTTCTGTATACGGGTGTTTGCTTGCATGTATGTGTACCACGTGCATGCAGTGTCCATGGAGGCCAGAAGGGGGCAGCACCACCTTCTGGAGTTACAGATGATTGTGAGATGCCCCGTGGGGTCTTGGAATCGAACCCTGGTCCTCTGTAAGGACAACAAGTGCTGTTAAACACTGAGCCGTCTCTCCAGCCTCCATGTCTGTCTTTTATTGTATGAGTTGTCAGCTTCTAGATTAAGGCTATTTTGTTATTCAGTATTTACTTTGTTGGCTTTCTTTTTATTGAGTGCCCAGTCTTTGTCAGGCTCTGTTCAGGGTTTGGACAGTACAAGAGGAAACAAAATAAGTCAAATGTTCAGCTTTCCTGACCCTCGGTTTTTTTTGTGGGAAAGGACAGAATTAAGATAATCAAATAAACTATATTGTGCGTGATGTTATGTGAACTTATATTATGATAAACAGTAAGGGGAGTAAGTAAGAGGGGAGGGTGAGAGTTGATATTCCAAATTGAAAGGCCTGGGGAGGCCTTCCTGACAGCACATGACGTGGTGGCTTCAGGTGTCAGGGAGTTGTTGAGACAGTCAGCAGAAAGAGGACTCCAGGCGGGGGGAAGTGCAGGAGGGAGGGGCCTTGAGACAGGCCCAGGAAGGCCGAATACCACTACGATTTAAATAGTAAAAGCTGGTCGTATACTAAGAGTGTGTCTCCTGCCTCACTCCCTCCTGGACGTCATAGCTGTCTGGGCCCCTGAAGATGAAAGATGACCGAACTCAACGCTACTAAAATTTCCCAGCTCGAGGTCGGCTACAGGCCGCGATCTCTCTTAGCCAAAATGCTTGGGACGGGAAGTATTTCTAATCTGAGATTTTAGGGTATTTGGGATATTTTGGGGTGAGACCTAAGTGTAAATGTGTGTTTCATTTATAGTTCATATACATCTCTCACACACAGCCTGAAGCTGACTTTACACACTGTTTTTAAGGTGTCTGTGTTCTGACTACGGCCTGTTGTGTGGGGAAAGTGTGGCGCCTTCTGCTTGGGGCAGCCATCATATTGACATGTTTAGAGATGCTGAACCTGTGTCTTGGGGCGGTGGTCTGCACCTATTTCTATCTAGATTTCTGTACTTTTACTCATCTTTCCATGCAGTTCTGTCTATCCTCCTTGCCTGAAGACTTCCCCCTTACTTGGGGTTGCGTGGTGACCATGTAGATGAGGAACTGTTCATCTCTGGCTTTTATTGAACTTCATCTGTGTCTATTAACTCTTTGGCCTGAGTGCAGAGGTTCTAGTCTTTTGTAGAGATTTTTTTTTTTTAGAGTCACTTTCTGCCCTGAATTAACAAGCCTGTTCTCTCTCTCTCTCTCTCTCTCTCTCTCTCTC